AGCAGCAGAATGTCTGGTCAGGCTTTGCTTCTCTTCTTTTCCAAAGCAATCTCATTAGAGCACATTTTGCCCACTCCAGTGGAAATACCAGTAGATTTCCATCTCACATTTAAACTTCTGTTCAAGCAGCATACACCCTTGTCTGCGGAGAAATGGAGAGCGGGTGGGAAAAAGGCCCCAAAGAGCTTTAAAAATAATAAAAAGTAAGGAGAAAGAGAGAGAGAGGAGACAGAATAAATCAAGACACACTGAGAAAACAGAACAGGTAGGGTGTCAGCAGTAAGTGCGCCAAGTCATGGCATTGGAGGTGCCAGGTAAGGAGGGTGGTTATCAGTTAATTTATTGCAGTGTGGGGCTGCTCCAAATGAGGTATGAGAAAGACTAACAGCAATACTATGGCAAAACATTCAACATCTGTCATAAAACAGTTGTGAGACAGCTCAAAGTAATGTGAAATCCCTTTGGTACCTCATAAATAAGATAGGTGTGGTTTAAATAGGGCAACATGTGCCGAGATATATGACAGACTGGAAGGGAACCTCAGTCACTAGTTATATACAAATGTTGAGAGTTTTTGGGAGTAGAGTACTAGACATGGCACCATACGCTCTCAATTATATGTGTGTTTATTAGAAGTAGCTTTATGGACGGCATAGGAGTTGCATTTGATTTATATTGGAATAGATGCAGCCATAATCAGACACACATCGATAAGAGCAGGAGTCTTCAACAATTACTCAGATCCTCATTTATTATTCTGCAAAATTATTCATGATAGCAGACACTCTTGCCAGATTTTTTAAATGGCTGTCAACAAAACTATTATGTGCTAAATGATTAATATGCACCAATGGAGAGCAAAATTCATTTCAGCTCTTAAAATCTGGTATATAGATTTAATAGGAATGACTTAAATGAGCAAATTATTTCCAAACTACAAAATATCTTCAAGAAAACAGTTTAACTTCATGAAGTATTATAATGCATATCAGGAGTAGTATGGATATAAAATTATTACACTATCAAAGCTGAAAAGATATGAGGTGCAAAGATCATTTTGGAAATGGTAGGCTGCTTGTATTTAGTCTCAAATATCATCACCTTTCACTTTTATATCTCTCTAGGGCAGGGGTGGGCAAAATGCAGCCCAGAGGCTGGATGTGGCCCACCAGGCCATTCTATCTGGCTCGCAGGGCCTCTAAAAAATTTAGAAAATTAACAGTTATCTGCCCTGGGCTGCCTGTCATGAGGCTCTTGATGGCTTGCCGAAACTCAATAAGTTGCCCTCTGCCCAAAATAATTGCCCGCCCCTGCTCTAGGGCAGTGGTTCTCAACCTTTTTGTACTTGAGGCATCCCTCATTGGATCTGAAGTACCCCTCCATAACTTTTGTGAGCTGAGTGGCAACAAATTTAAAAAATGATGTATATTTTAGAGATTAACCACCTTGTAGAGTGGCTGTATTGTGGGGTGGGGGTCGGGACAAGCCTGAGCCTGAACTTGGCTGCTTATCTCCTCCCACGTCATGGAACCCTTCAAAGGATCTGGTGGCCAACCAGGATGCTGCAACACCCTGGTTAAAAATCATCACTGAAGGGGTGAATTACTGTGTATGTCAGCTCTCTCTCTCTCTTAGGTGGTCTTATTTCAGTGTTTCTGAATGCTGAACACTTTTAATACAAAAGTATTATTGCCTTTTTAATGCATAAAAAAGTTACACATTTAGGGCTATTTGCTTTATTCAGAAAATTGCATATAGACACATGTACTTTTTCAGTCTAGAATAAATTATTCAGTATAAGAAATGCAGACAAATATATAATATCTCTGTATTTATACTGACCAGCAGTCATAAAAATAAAAGATAGAATGAGATGGAATAGAATCCAGCTCCCTTACTCATAAACTTCTTGAATACAATTTATCATCTGTTTATTATGACATTCACAGTTTACTAAGCATTTTCTACACACGTCAGAGGACTGGTAAAGGGGGGCATTCAAGGGAACTATATTACTGTGTAGCAGGGCACTGTGGTCCTTTAAGGTAGGAACCCTGCTGTGGGTGATTAGCGGACAGTTAAAAGCCCTAGCTGGGAGGGGGATGGGGAGGCGGGGGGCACAAGACACTCAAGCTGGGGGAAGAAGCAGTTTGTGAACACTTTTGCTGCTTAGAGAAAGACTAAAGGTTTGCTTTATTCATGTATTTGGTTGTTTGGAACAAATATTGTTTGAGTACCCCACAGTGTAGTAGGGGTGGAAGGGACCTCCAGAGGTCTTCTAGTCCAGTCACCTGCTGAAGCCACGTTCATCCCTATACAAGCAATCCTATACAAATCCATTATCTAACCAAGTAGCAAAACTACACAGGCAACCCTGACAAAACCAAAAAATGCTAACACCCTGATCTGACACAGGTAAAGCAGGGGGCCATGATGGCCATCATCCTGCTACTCCAAGGTTGTTAAAATATGCTTCAGAGATCCAAGGGAGAGGACCATGCCCCCTGCTACAGAGGAAGGCAAAAACCCACACAGTCCATACCAATCTGACCATAGGGTAAAATGCCTTCTTGACTCCAGATATGGTGATTGGTCTGACCCTGAGCAAGACCCTCTAGCCAGGAATCTCCAGGTTTAAGTCCCCGTGGGAGAACTGGCACATCCCAGTCACAGTCCCCAGCCTTGGCCAAGGCCAACACTCAATGGTTCTGAAGCTTTAATTAAAAAGAAAAAAAAATCCAACATAATCCTAACATAGCAGAAGGGGAAAAAAAAGTTCTGCATGGTTCAGTGGGGCAACCAGAAAAGCTCAGAAGCATGGGAAATACCCATAGCTACTTCTGAATCATTCCGGACCACTGCTTGCTCAGCCTCTTTCTGAACACCTCCAATGATGGAGATTCCACAACTTTCCTAGACAATCTATTCCACTGCTTCACTCTTCTAACAGTGAAGAAGTTTTTCCTCTTTTCCAGCTTAAACCTACTTTGCCACAACTTCTAGCCATTGGTCTAAGTCCTACTCTGCAGCAAGACAGAATAGGTGTTTTTCCTCTTCTTTATGGCAGCACTTCAGTTATTTGAAGACTAATAGCATGTCCCCTCTCATGTCCCCTCTTAAGTGGCTTTTCCACAAACTAAATGTGCCTGTTTCCTTCAACTTCCTGGTGTATAACTTGTATGACAGAGGAAGAGGATGAGAGCAAGAGAAAGAATGGAGTATGCCTGCACTGCCCGGTCAGACTAGTAGTTGGGGAAGGAGGAAGGGCAGCAAACCACCCATGGCTAGACTTTAGTTACCCAAAAGCAGCCTCTTAAACCAGTATTTCTCAACCTGTGGGTCGTGACCCAAAAGAGGGTCGCAAGAATATATGAAAGGGCCATAAACAAACTTTAAAAATGAGAAAAACATGGGAAATGGTAGCTTTTCCCTTGCAGGCTGTCAGAGATCCAGCCTGCAAGGGGCTACTTGGGGCCCCTCGTTCTCCCTCATCCCTTTCCCCACAAAAAGGGGGTAGGGGCTGGGGCCTGGGACAGCAGGTTGGGAGTGAGGAGCACTGGGTCGGGACTGGTCATCAATGTTTACAAATGGGTCCTGGTACAAAAAAGATTTGAGAACCACTGCCCTAAACAACATATTAATTTATATCATCAAGGCATGACCCTGAGAGGGGCCAGATTACAGAGACGGGGTAGGCAGATATGTGCCATGCAGCTACTTGGGGTGCCATGACCATCCCTGGAGGTGTACCCTAATACACTGCTCTGAAGAGTTTTCAATCCAAGGGCAGGTACTGGAAAGAAAACCAATAGGAAATTTACATCCATGGGTAGAGAACAAAAGGTATTAAGGAAGGTTTGAATACAATGTAGTGAGCTTGTAGACGACCTCCAGTGGGTCCTACTAGTGACAGGGCCTGTATGAAAGAGGGCAGGAGAATAAGGGGGAGAACTACATCAATTAGAAGAGTTGGAAGCTGGCAGAGGGGGAAGGATTAGTCCGATGATACTCAAAATTTGGCAAGGGCAAACAGAGAAAGGCAGAATTATGTAGATCAATAGCACCCAAACTTCTGGCCCTGTGGGCTAGATGAGCGGTTCATGGGTGCAATGTAGTGTGCTGGGCCGACTCTGCAAAATGGATCCAGTTGTATACCAGTCCCACTGAGCGCCCGGATCTGACCATGCTATCGGGTCCCGTGGGGCTCCCCTCAGGCCTGGCAACTGGCAGTAGGGAATTGACAATTAGAGCTGTCACCGCTCCTTTCTGCACCCGTGGGAAGCCCCACGCCCTATGGGCTAGAGGTTGAGCACCCCCAACGTAGCATTCAGAAGGTAAGGACAAGATGTTGAAACGTGCCCAGATGGTGGACAGGGCCTGGGGGGGATTTTGAGGAAAGAGTGAGGGGCCAAGTGGTGCAACTTGACCAGCTACACTTCCTAGGGATGGAAGCAGTGGATGGGCGCACCCAGGGTTGTAGAAGAAAGTTCAGCCCCTCAAACCAGAGCAAGATGGAACCACCTTGGTCATTGTTCTGAAAGGGGCTTTGGAGAAGACAAGAACTGGCTGGGGG